GTGCGAAGTTAATCAGTGCAGATATCCATAAGCATGGAATCTCTCCGGGTGAATTGACAGAAACAGCTCCATTTCAAGTATGTTACTATCTACCAGTTCTGGGTAAATGGGTTGTCAAAGTACAAGATGAAAAAAAGAAAATCTGGAAGGATATCTTCACATCAGTGGAAGACGGCCCGGAATTAATCCGATGTCAGAGCTACGGCCAGTTGATCGTGACAATCGGGAAACCATGCTCGAGACCCGATGCAAAACAACTGGATTTTATCACAATTTACTGAGTTACGGGCTATGCAAACGACAATGACCTTGTATTTTTGACGGAATACTATTTAAAAATCCGTTCTCGTGAGGCTCAGATCTCACTCCCTGCTATTCAATGACAATACGCTGACACAGTGAATGGATCCATAATGCGCATGACGCATTGTACCAATGCATCTATTTTTTTCTTTTACAATCCACATGATGTGCGAATTGTGTACGACTTGTAACGTCTCACTGCATACAATAACGACTATCGAGGTAAATGCAACTGTTCAGTGTCGCTAGAAATTGTACACGATCTTCAGTTCGATTCTGCCTAGTCTCTTATGATACCTGCTCCGTTGCAGAATAGCCCAGTCGGTCATTGGGTTGTAATAAGCTGTTCGTTCAGCTCTATCTAAGAGCCAACTAGTATCAGAGATATCCGCAGAACCGGCACTCTTATGCAAGCGGTGGTCACATAAAGAGTAACGAGAATTATTAAGCTGTCAAAACAACAATACTTCCTTAGTGCTAGAGTGCTAGCACTGAGAGACCAATGACATTTATGAACTCGCTCGTTTTCTACACATATCTACTTTGTCTAAACTCCATTTCCTGATCTTGACGGCCATTTCGGCTTTCCTATTAATCTCACTGTTTTCCGAAAGTATTGGCCCGATAAGTAAGCCTAAGGTAGCAGACAAAAACAAAGCAAGNGGGTTATTGGTTGCTCAAGCTGCAACAGTGCATCTACTTAACATGTCTGCGACCTCAATGTTCATGAATTCTCTATCTTCACCTTGACACTGCTTTCAGTTTGCCAACCTTCCCGCTGTCTCCTCATCCAAATGGACAACCAAAAGACATGGATCACAACGGCCACATTAACATGCCTGATTAATGGTTGTTTATACTGAAAACACAACCGAAGCCGCCACAGAATAGGTCCCAACACTGTAGGTAACAGAGCAAAATAATCAGTAGTATTATAGAATATATTTTATAATGATGTTCGAAAGAAATGCAAGGTAGATCAGGTTACAAGAGTTTTACTCTTGGAAATGAGTGATATTTGGTTCGCGGTAACAAATAGTTGTAGTTAATTCTCCTAATTTATCGGTCCGTGGAAGTATGACAAGGTCAGGGTATTGAATGGAGAAAACAAAGAGCCCATTAGCCGGACTTTACTCATCGGTAATTTGAGTATACACTCGCTGAACCCGGTCATAAGCGTTGGGTCACCTTCACCCGGTGAACCTGAACACCAACAGAATTGAGTTAAAAATAACCTAGGAATTTCGGGATACCTTTGCGTAATCTGATTTCCATTCCATTTCTGAGCCCGCTTTATATTCATGTTTCAGAAACTGGTTTACTCCGTAAAGCGCACTCTTTCTTTTGCTCTCCACACCTCAATTTACTAGTCCGTTAGTGCTGTCATTGCTTAAAATTTCCCACATTGTAATTAGTTAGTCTGTACCCGAGTAAGTGATACGAGGATTCACTATGCTTGTGAGATCCACAGTTTAATATGCTGCATAAGGCCAGTGGATTCTCACTGCTAATGATACCACTCAAGTGTAGATGAAACAAGTGGACAACGGTGTTGGGTTCTTTAGTTCAATTTTCTTTCTTTAAATATATTCAAAATTTCCTGATACAAAGAGAAATATGAACTTAACAAGTGCAGAAACAAAAATTTGTTGGTGGCTTCAAAATACTATTACTTTCGCTTATGAAGGCAAGCAACTACCTTATCAACACATTTGTGTCATCCCTGACCAATGTTGTAATTGCCTAACAGCCAGGAAACTTGAGGAAGGCCTATTTTACAGTACAGTCTGCATTGAATGGTTTTTCCACTTGGGAAGACTATCAAATTTTCGGAAGAGGTAGATGCCATTGAGAGCAAAGTGTGGTGAAGATCGTTTAGCAATGTTATCTATACATTACGGAGTTCAGTGTTGTAGTCAATCGGTGATCTAGCCGGTTGCATAATACTTGTGCTGGTATCGATGCATCAGACGCAATAAACTCAGAATGGGTGATACCATCATTAGGCAATCGACTACTCACCATCAACTTCTTCCGGTTTGTTTTTAGCGAATTATTATATTTCACACACGTCTGATGCCAGACCGTGTGCCAAAGGCTATTATTTCTTCTTTTCACTCAATTCACATGAAGCCCAAACAGCTCACTTTGACAAGTTCAGCTAAAAGATATAGGCTGTTAGCTTGCTGACAATAAACAGTAATGATACTTTGTACGAAAATGTGGCACAGACCATATTCGGCGAAGACTTTTAGATCGCAACTAACCACCTTTGATTGACGATGACTTCATCATTCACTAGTGAGCTCAACAATATCAGAAGGAAGTTTCGCAATCCTAATCGATAAGATCTGTTAAGGGTATTAGTAGTAATAGTATAGTTAGAGAGTTTCAAGTTGTCTGCGATACTACAGTGTCACTCGCAAACTTGTATTTCTTAAGTGTGTCAATTTTTCGTCTTTCCACTGCTGAAACATAAAAACGGAAATTGTCCAATTGCTTATGTGATCAAAAGGTTATTTTGGAAGGGGCAACAGGTGGCTGATCAACAACAAAGTGAAAAACCTGAAAATAGCAATGTAAGAAGGGAAAAAAAGTTAATATTAGTTGTTCTAAACCCACAAGGCTAGTGCCGAACTCATGAATTATTTATTGTAAGAACCACATGGGTAGAGAGTAAATGAGGCTGCACAGAACAAAACGTGCAATCTGGAACAGTCAGATCACGGTTTCATGAAAGACTCTGGATTGGTGGCCAAAGAATTCAAAGGTCTCTCGGCATCTGCTGCTGCAACAATATTGAATCGACTCAGGGAAGTCTTGCCCATTGTTGAATATCGTGAGAATTGCCGACTGCTGTGCATGCGTGTACCAAACAGACTACACGCATATGATGTGAGTAGTGCCCCACCAGATTGCGATCAGCCATGAATATGATACTTGACAGCCTGATAAATGCATATATATTAATGATTTTGCAATACACTCTGACCATAAACGTTCATCAATGGAAAGATTTCACACTGAACCTCCCGTTAGTTCAACTACCGATGAGAATTAGGCAACGCTTATCTCATTTGCAGTTCGGGGAGTTGATTAGAAGAATCATTGCGATGATTGTATTTGAAGTGTTCTGGGTAGCACGTGACCTGACTACCATAAAAGGTTTTTCTTAGAATCCAACGAATGAACTCTAAAGCAGGACTCAGGTGGCACAGAGTGTGTTGTACAAGAGCTTAAGTTGCGTTCATGCAGTTGGAATCCCACCAAGGGTACTGAACTTTTCACATCTCAAACACAAAACTTCAATCTGACAAACGACATAATTTAAAGTTAATCTCGGTTCACCCTCAGAAATTATCACATCAATATCTAACTACCCCTCCGCGTTCCTGACCTCAGTGATTTTATTAGTTGCAACTTTACAGATGCGAAGGTTTTGGATGCCCGCAAACCAGAACTACTGTAATCGGTCCTCGCCGGGGTAGTTTGACTAACCTGGTATGCATCCCACTCCTTTCACATACGTTATGAAGCGTGTAGCCATCGCTTTTAACTTAAGCTGAAGTCTGGTTCGTTCTACCAATCGGTTATTTATTGTCTGGGAATATATGGTTGCTTTTTTGTTCTTCATGATTGACGCACACTGAAAGTATCTTTACTGAAATTCGTAAAATGTCCTTTACCATTCATATACTTGTGAAACTTAGTACCCCTCACTGTTTGGATTCTGCAGTACTTTATCGTCTGCATTATTCCAACAGCGGTTTATTACTTCTTTAGGGCTTTTCCGGATTGGAAATATAAGCATTTCTTTTGTGTTAGATCTCGTGAATTCTTATGCAAATGCAGTGGGTTACTCGACATGATGCTGTTGATTTCCTTTTTCACCAGGATTTTTATGCTAGTTATCAGTTTCCCAAACATCTACTGCTGACCATTGTCTGCACAACGAAATCCTCATAGCTGTCTCTGACTCCCGAGCCCAGTCCCGATTCAAACCTATCCCGATCCGGACATTCATCGATTATGGCAGTATTATTATTCCATTTATTGTATACCTCAGTTAAATGCACACCCATTATCACCGACTTCCTACGTTAGCTATAGCTTTTGCTTATCGTGTACGGCATATTATTTCCTATTCCATTACATATATATATACCATGATTAAAAATCACTCGCTAGAATGCATTATGCTTCCCTGGACTCAACGTCACTTCTGATGTGATCCACGCAAACTAATCGGTCAGGCAACACGTTTCTCATGTGCGTTTTTATTTCAGAACTTTTGGGTATCTTGTGTAATGAATGAATAGTCGAAATGCTGTTAAATAGTCTGGCAACTGTTTGCGAGCGATACTTTTCTATGTAAAAAGGGTATGGTAGCTGAAGCTTAGCAGGTAACCAAAACTAGTAGCATTGCAAAGTGGAAAAATATAGAGAAAACTCATTCAGCTTTCTGTAACAGAGATTGTTTCATGCAATTCGCAAGTACACAGAATCACTGGGTAATGTATATCAGGACAATGTAATTCCTTCAGTGAACAAGCAACGTTCAAATGCCTGCAAAAAATATACATTCAATTTGCAAGTGGACTCCGGTTGGTACATAAAGGTGACTTCCGCATAGATCAGATTTTCAGCGTTAACTGAAAAGCGAGCAGACAGGAAATCGTGCAGTCCACCAAATTGGATCACAGGTAAACTTGACGTAGATGTTGCTTCGATTCGGAGGGGACTTCCGGAGAAGCTTCGATCCGCGACATCAACTGTTTGAACAGACCCCGTTCGTGATCATCTGTCAAACACCAGGCCACATCGAATCGGGGTAAATTAGACAAGGCATCCAAACGTGAAGCAATCCCCTCGATGGTCAACTGATTTGAGGCATGGAAGGCGTACAGTAACTGAGACAAGAAACTGGGTTCCAGGTTACTACTAATTATTCTGCCGTAATCGGCCGGTTCCAAAGAACACAGATAATCCACAGCGGTTTGAGACAGAGCTGTTCTTTCCCCTCCACTCAATTCACGTAGATCTCTTTCTAATTGATACCAATTGGACGGGATCGGGAAGACAGGATTTGTAGAAGAATAATGCACAGTCTGCGTCTGCTTTTTGCTATCCCCAAGCGAACAGAGCTGCTTTGGAGTGTCAGGATCACTTGATGCACCGGCAGATACAGATGGATTTACTCGGGTTTGAGGAAGTGGAACCGTTTTCACGGGTTTCGATGGAGATTTTTTATTACCGGAAGGCGGTAACGCGGTTGTGAGAATTTTCGGTGGTGCTGTATGAGTAGTAGGTGGTTGAACGGCGGACTCACCACCAACCTCCACGATTGGGATGCGCCTCAATTTGCGCGAACCACGGAGCGAGGGTCTGGGCAGCAAGGAAGACTGATTAGGCACTTCACTTGCACTAGTCTCTGCTCCGGGCGGTTTACCGGTCAGTAAGGTTAGCTCTGTGATAGCAGCTTTATTGTTCTCATCAAGTGCAAGCAGGCTCTTCAGATCTTCAATAGCTTCACTTTTTTTCTGTAGTCCCTTTCGTGCTATGGCTCGCCTGTTGAGAAATTGCAGAATAGTTGATAATAGTAGGGAACACAAAGACATTGTTGAAAGCAAATTAAAACAGATTAAAATAACAAATGACGGACTGAATGGCTGTAGGTTAGTGCGCTAAATGAATATTCCTATGGGATCGCCAACCAACGGAAAACGTCGGACAGAAACCATCAACGGAACCACTATTTCGGCAAATCGACTCACAAAACAGTGAGACGGTGGGTAGAACATTTTAAGGCGCAGTTCAGCTGGTCTTTGTCGGCAATATATCCTCAGTTCCTGTTTCAACTCCTCCGGTCTGGACGAGCGATCCCCATCGCCTTAGACTTGGAGTTGAAAAAACCCCAGGGCTCAGTGTGGGAGAAGGAACAGGTTTCAACTCAATAGTGTGAATCAATCATCATACCGATTTACAAGAAAAGTGACAGATCCTCTTGCGAAAACTACTGGTTTAGTCAACATTGCTTCTAAACTTGTCGCTGGTATTATACTCCGTCGATCGTGAAGAGTACATAAGTGAGAATGAGGCTGGTTTTAGACCGGGTCAAGGTCGTATCGCCCGTATTTTCACTCTTCGTAAATTTTTAGAACACAGACACTCCTTCCGTAGACCCACCAGCTCTGACTTCCTCGATCAGAAAGCGGTTTTTCACTTAGTCGACCACTCTGTACTCCGGCTCTGACTCTCTCTCTCTGTTTGTCTGAAGGGTGTGCCCCAGAAGTTTATTTCAATATTACGACCGCTCTAAGAAGCGAAATTGAGTCCGAGCTTGCGACACCTTTTCCCCAAGTTAATCACGGAAATTGGTGTTCGTCAGGACTGTCCTCTACCTCCTTTTTGAAACAGCCCTATGCATATGCGAGAATAGCGGCATCGAATTGCTCCAAGAGGGTAGACTGTCATCTTTGACATATGTATACAACACTGTGCTGTTAAGCGAAGATCTAAGTAAGTTGCAAGCTATTCCGGATAGGTTGAGTGCTATTGTATGGGAAAACTTCGGCGCCTCTCCTTTCAGCTCCGGAAGCTAAGACAATTTCGCACTCCCCAACAAGTTTTGTTCTCCTTTGTTAAACAATGCGTTCTCCCTATTTTACTTCACTGCTCCCCTGTAGTATTTCCCGGTTATTGAAACAAGACTTTAAAACTATCCGTCGTGGATTGATGATAATAAGCCGTGCATCTTTAATTTCTGCCGAGTCATTATTCACAGAACTTATTAATGGTCATACGAAGCCTTGTGTGACCTTTGTCAATAAGAGTCTAAACGACGCCTCCCATCCTTTACATCTTGACTTATCTTCTTGTCGCTCCCACTCGGTCACTCGTTCCTTTTATCGACATATATACTCTAGAATAAATATTTATAAAAACTCCACTGTACCGTATCTGGCTCGAATCTTGACCAACAAGGAACGAGTTATAAATGAATTACGTCAATCTTTAACTAAATGAATCAAACTTCGGAGACATCTTTGACACGGCACTCTATTGGACCTGTCTATAAATCTATATTTTCTCCGATGTGACGACCAGTGTGCAATTTTTAACTGAAAATGTAAGCATGTCTCCAATTGCAAAAGTTATACAAATACAAATTTCAGTATGCGTTTCGCACATTCAAAGTGTAAAATGTTGCTCCAAGATTGGGTTGGCCCAGCCCCAACCTCACTCTAACTGGGGAAGCAGTAAAGGAAACCGACAAATTTACTATATGAGCAGCTGTCTCACTTAGCGGACGCATCACGGATGAAGTGTCAGCAGGCATGCAGAAGGTTCGGTTGGCATTTGTCGACTTGAGCCATCTGTGGCGAGGTCGGAACATCCGGCTGTCTGTGAACGGTCAACTGTATGCTGCAGAAGTTCGGTCAGAGGTGCTTTACGATGCAGAGAATACCATAAATACCATAAAGACTAACGGTGTTCGAATACTATCGTCGCATTGCACGAGTTTGATGGGGAAACCGGAAAAGCAGTGCCGAGGTTGGGCAGAGAGTTGTGGGCAATCGCGATTGGTCACTGAACAAGGGGTCAAACTTCATAGATTACGTTGGCTGGGACAATTATTGCGTGTCAAAAAACAGATTGCCACGGAGGGCGATGTTTGCCGAGGAAAGTAGTGGATGGAAAAAGTCAAAGGTGGTCAAACAAAGACGTAATGGGAGTATGAGAACCCAAACCAGACGACTGGCNACGACTGGCTCATATAGGTCGCGTTAAGTCCCTTGAATGGAGATTTCGAGATCATGGTAACCGGTAAGTAGAGACACTAAGTGACAAGGCTGTTTCGGAAAGCGTAGTGGCCGTGTATCTACGCATTATCCTTGCAACCATAATCCATGAGAGCTCTATATGAATTCTCTATCCCCCCCCCTTGAATCTGTTCTTAACGTTCCAATCTTTCTTCTGCTTTTTTGTCCAAAGGGGCAGCCAAAAAACAGCAACCAAAACTGGCGCACAAAAGTGCATACTTAATGGTTGTAAAAACTGAAAATGAAACACAGTACGCAAACAACCGAAGTTTAAATCTTTTTACAATACCTCTTTGATCTGGTTCATTACAGAAAGCGAGGCTAGTTAGGGTTATGTAGCTTTAACCCTGCAGTGAACATGATTTCAGAGATAGAAGTGATTGTAGTGTTCGTGACAGGTATGTGTGAGCTGTAGCTGTGTCAGAATTCAAGCAGTATCTTGGGAATGCGATGCGAAATAAGGCTTTAGATATCATTCGGATGTACAAATATCCCTTGCACATCTAAGTGTAAGACTGATGACACATGGAGCACATCTGCGGTTCATACGCCTT